CGAGAAACCGAGAGGACTCACCCTCAGCTCCATGATCCGGTATTCCCTTCTCCCACGGAGGTACGAAGAAACTGGAATAGACACCAAGGATGACAGTAAAAGTTCCCACTTTTCCTTTCGGGGGGGGGGGGGGGGTAGGGGGGGTAGCTTCTCCCTTTCTTCGTCTCGGGAGCAGAAAGAGTCGGGACCCCGCCCGTGATGCTAGCCTGCACAACTCGACCGATCGCTCCGCTGGGTTTTCTCCCTCCCGCGATATCGTTATTCCGCATCGTTAATGTGGGCGACTCCCATCGCTTTTTTTTTTTAGATCTCGATGGACTCTTTTCTAATGGGGCAAGAGTAGAACATGGAGCATTCTCCTTTTTTATTTTTTATTTACATATGTTGCATGCAAGTTGACCCCGCCGTGCAAGTTGAACTTGCATGGTAATTCATCGTGCAAGTTGAACTTGCATGGGCAAACCCTTGTTCGTGTTAACCCGGATTGCACATTTTCGTGCAAGTTCAGAGAAGCACTTCATCTCGGCCGTAATAATGATCGTATGCCTTCGGCCACCGGCACTTGCCTTATTTTCGAGCCAGCGTGTCAAACACCATGATATGAATTAGTTTGATAACCCTAATGAATAAATGGAGTAACTGCTCCATGATTAAAGAATCTGCAACAACTTTGTCGATGTCTGCATTCAAGCCTTTCTGTTTAGCACACCTTTTTTTTTTATTCATTTGTTGGAACACGTCCATGACCATCGAGAGTTGCACTGGGCATTATTGGCTACGCACTTCCACTATTTTTTTTTTTAGATGCATCGTTCGCAGTGGCGCATTTTAAGGGGGGCAGGAGGGGGGGGGGGAGTAGCTGCCCCCCTGGTGCCCCTGTGACTGAGTCTGGCGCCCCCTTGGAGATTATAATTTTTTTCCCCTGATATCGTTTGGGTGAGGTTTGGCCCCCCCACCCGGGAACACTGTGTTGTTGAAGAGTTGGTCTTCTCTTAGAGCTCTAACAGATAATCATTGAATTTCATGCCAATTATCACGGATTTGAAGGAGGGTTAATCAGACGAAAACCACTAGAGCTGTTGAAGAACGTTCACTCTCACTTGTATCGCACTGAACAAGGTGAGAGAATAAGGCTGTCAGTGAAAGCGAAAGGATGAAGGGATCTCCCTTATCGTTTTTCCAAGGCCAGGCGCACTACATCTGAGTCTTATTCTCGATAAAAATCGTCTAATTTTATATCATTAGGGGTCTAGATATCCCTCCTGAACTTGCACAAAAGTCCATCGTGTGGGTTAACTTGCATAAGAAAGAATGCATGCAAGAAAGAATGCATAAGAAAATTGGACGGGTTCAAGTTGCACGGTATATTTTATGCAAGTTCAACTTGCACGGAAAGGTCAATTTGCATGCGACATATAAATAAATTCTTCCACGGCACCTACCGGTATTGGAGATATGAATACATAATGAAGGAACCACATTATAACGGTAACTATCACAGGGATCGAAAGCTTATTCTTTACCATTTTTGTTACAGGTAACTAAAAATGCCTCCAGTGCTTAGCGTAGAAGAGCGAGCAAAAATTGCTGCAAGGTACGAAGTATGGAAATCGGTTATTCAAGTTCAGCGTTGGTGGAGAGCGGAAAATGGTAGAAATGCAACGCTCAACCCCAAAACCATCAGAAACTGCCACAGTAAATTAATGAGAACTGGTTCTCTTTTGGACTTGCCACGTTCTGGTCGACCGTCAACGTCACGATCTGAAGAAAATGTTGCTAATGTCCGGGAAATGTTTGAAAGAAGTCCATCCGTCAGGCATCCAGAGAAAGCGGGCTAACACGCTATACCATTGAGACAGTTTTGAAAAAAGATTTGCATTTCCGTCCCTGGAAGCCTCATTACGTCCAGCAAATCTTTCATGACCACCGTATGGACTTTTCAGAAATCATGCTAGGATGGAAATAAGATAATCCTAATCTGTCTGATAACATCATATGGTCTGATGAGGCAGTTTTTCATGTGGGTGGTTTTAACAGACATAACTGTCCTTATTGGGGTAACGTTGATCCAGGTGCAAAAATCCAGGTGAAAAAATGCAGTCACGACCAAAGGTAACAGTATGGTGTGGTATGACATCGACCAATATGGTAGGTCCTTATCTTCTACGGGACACAATGAACGGAGAACGCTATTTAAATATGCTTCAGAACTTTGTGTTGCCCATCATTACTCAATGGAATAACGCTGCAAAGCTCATATTTATGCAAGACGGTGCACCTCCACACTTTGCTATTGAAGTTCGCAACTGGCTTGACACCCACTTTCCAGGACAATGTCCTGTCGTCATGTCGTCGTGGACCAACAGAGTGGCCTGCTAGAAGCCCAGACCTTGTGATTTTTTCTTGTGGGGCTGGGCCAAGGAAGAAGTTTAGAAGACTTGCCCAAGAACTGTTGATGATCTTGAGGACAGAATCCGTGATGTTTTAAACGCAGTTTCCCATGATTTCTTTAAAAAAAAAGCAGTGGATCATGTACCAAAACGTTTACAGAAATGTATTGACAATGCTGGTGCTTATGTTGAATTCTAAGGGGGATAGTTTGTAATAGTAATAAATGTTCTATAGTTTTCATGACCAAATAAATGTTAAACTTATATGCCTACTGTTCAGGATGTATTTGAAAATAGGTATTGACTTATCGGACACCCTGTATATAATGTTGAGTCCTATGCGGGATTGGATTAGGTGGCTTCAGCTCAATGTGCCTCGAGGCAAAGGCCCAGTTTAGCAGAGGCAATCTGGGCATCGCTCCATCCTGTCAGCACAGAACACTGTTGGCTGAATTCATTGTAGTCCCCTTCCTCTTTCATTGTAGGCCTGCGTTTCCCAGGCTAACCTCCCCTTTTACTTTTTATGGCAAAGGCCTGAGTCATTCCAAGCCATGCTGGGTTGCTTCCCTCAGGGACCAGTCTCGTCATGAATTTCGGTCGCAAGGCTGGTCAAGCCAATTGATAGCTAACAGTGGTGCAGGCAGACGGACCAATCTAGGCGATGGGGGAATGAACCCCGCTCCCGAACCAGACCGGACAGAGATTGACTAGACTATGTGGGATTTATTCCCCCATCTATTTATGTGGGATTTATTGCGGGATTTATTCCCCCATCGTCTAGATTGGTTTGGTTGGTACAGGTACCATTGAAAATTCCTTTTACTATCTGTGCGCCTTGGTGGGAAGCAGGCAACTGCCCTACCAGGTAATCGTTTAATAAGCCGTCTTTTATATCAATATATATATATATATTTTTTTTTTTTATTACTGAACCTAAGGGGTTCCGACGAAAATGATCAATATAAATATCATAGGGATAAAAAAAAGTGTCAGTATTTGAGGAAACCGATGTGGTTCCGGGTGTTGATTTTATCGAGTCATTCCATGTCGGTGGCACGACTAAAAGGAAAGTCCACCGGGCACCACACCCCTGACGTGTTCACAACGGAAACCGAAAAGATCATGCAAATAGACCCGACGCTGAAAGAACCGAGGAATATTCAAATCGATTGAATTCGTTCTTCTCGTCGAGGTTCAAGATTCTGGGCGGGAAGCCGTAATTTAAGAAAAGCTTACCCTTCAAAAAAAAAAGATAAAATGATAATTTGATTTTTTAAAATAAATATTCGACTGCCATTTTCCTCCCTGTTTGGTTTCGGGCAGAGCCAATTCGCGCACAGCTGTCAAGAAGTCATCACGAGATGCACTAATTCGTCTTCAGAACGGAACGGCCTCGTACCACGTATCGTTGGGAGAATCGGTTTCCCCAATCTTCCTGGATGAATGGACCGCCGCTTGCGCTAAGGCGATCATCCACGCGATCATCCACGCGATCATCCTCCGTGGAGGATGATCGCGTGGGGATGAGAAGGGTCCTGTAAACGATTAAAGCGAGCGTGAAAACTTTGTATTCGTGTGAGAGTTGGCGAAATGCTTAAAGGACGATCCGATTTCGATTGCTGGAATTCACTCTTGCGAAAATGGGCCCTTGGGGATAAGGATATGATGAAGGGCACAATGAAGGGCACGATAAGGGGCTCGTAAAAAAAAAACTATTCAGGGGGGGAAGGGAATTATTACCGTGGATTTGGGGAACCGAAGGAAGTATAGCGTTTAACGGGCGGGTTTAACGAGGCCGAGGAAACACGGACATGCCCTTAATAGAAATCTTTTCCCATTAAATCTAGTTTAAATTCAAACGACAGAATAAATTAAAACATAAAGCAATATCATGCAACTTCGTTTGTTACGAGGTAAAACCGACATGGAGACATTGACGTCGAAAGAATTCGCTCTCCCAAAGTCGTCTCGTCGGCACGGGATTTAAGCTACGTCATGAGACTTTATGGCAACCGCGGGGAGGATTCACCAGTTTACCGTAATGACATATTTCGTCCCTTACCTCCTCGGAGTCCCGCAGTTTCCGCGTCGCGCGGAAGCCAAATGCTTTCGAGCCCCGTGTGGGAAACGAGAGCCGCTTCCAGGGAGAATTTCATGGCACGAATGGTAAGGCAGCACGAATCTCACGCGGCCATTCGCTCGTCCCTTATCGGCGCCCTTTGGTGCCCTCCGGCGCCCATCGGCTGCGATTCCGCGGGATGACCGCACGGACTCCCCGCGCGTCCGATATGGCAGAGGGAGGAGAAACTCGGCTCGCTCACGTCTCTATCGACCTTGGAAGGGGTTATTCCCGGTTATTCCTGTTCCGTGCGTTAGCAGTCGGACGGGTAGAGATACCATCTGGTCCGTTCGGAGACAGATCCAGGTAGAAAGGTCGATAGGGTACCTGTTGTTTGCGACACCCTATATAAAGCCGCTGCAGTTTCGTTTTCACGAGTTTTCATCGTTCTCGAGTGGTCATACGTACCGTCGACTTCAATCGTGCCTGTGTCGACTGCTGTCCGGAGAAGCTCACAATAGCAGGCTTACATTTTTCATACCACCTGTCAGCGAGTGCAGAAGCAGAAGCAGAAGACGATGCTGGAGTTGTATCACATGTCCACCTGTCCCTCCTGCCGAAGTGTCCGCCTCCTGGCAAAGGACATCGGCGCGGAGTTCCAGCTCAAGGAAATTGTGACCTTCAAGGGCGAACATCTCACCCCCGAGTATCTCAAGGTAGGACCAATTCACATCTATTTCGAACAGGAACACCCAAATCTTACAGTTAACGTCCGTTTTAGCTGCTGTCTGCTTCTAGCCATAGAGTCTTGCTTATTTCTTTTGTTTTTCGCGTGGGACTGAAGTTGTTTAATTTGCAAGCGATCCAGATGCACGCGAATTGAATCTTTGAAGCCACGAAGCATAGTCGTTCGCGATAGAGCGAGATCTCCACGCTGATGTTTGTATGGTGCTTTAGAGTCTTTCCGTACGACCGCTATAGGAAAGGAAACAGTGCTGCTGTTATTTCGAGCTGCATAGGAGCATACATCTCAGAATTTCCCGTTCTCTTGCAGATCAATCCGCAACACACGATACCGACCCTGGCCGAAGGGGATTGGTATCTCTCTGAAAGGCATGTTCTCCATCTTTACCGTGTCCATTCATCATCCCGTTTCGATTTACTTCAATATTGTTTTGTACGATTTTCAGCCGAGCCATCTTGCGTTACTTGATCGGGAAATTCGGCCCGGATTCCCAATTGTATCCGAAGGATCTGAAGGCCCGAGCCATGGTCGACCATCGGTTGGACTTCGATATCGGGACCCTCAGGTCCCGATTCGGTCAGCTGATGGTCAGTCTTCGCATTCAGTTCTCGGATTTGTAAAGCCTAGATTTAGATGCATGTTCAGGGTCTTCGTGATCTATCAAAAGTCAACCTTGGAAATAATTGACGCAATGTGCACGCAATTAAGATGCATATTGAAGCTCCTCGTCGAAGGGCAAGGACCATTGTACTGAAATAATGGTTATATGCAGACGCCGGTGCTGTACAAGGGGGCGAAGTCCATGGACCCCGAGAAAAAGAAGTCATTCGAAGAGGCCCTGCAGTGGTTGGACTCCTTCATCGAGTCCTCGGGAGGATGCTGCGCGGCGGATCACCTTACCATCGCCGATTATCCCATCTTCACCTTGCTAGACAACGTGAAGGTCCCGAGTCAATGGAATACTCCTGCTACTCTTCGAGTCGAACTAATTGATACTCTTGTGAGGCAAAGGAGGGGGAGACTAAAAAAAATCGTAAGGCAAAATCACTTTTCAAGTTCTTTTATTTTTTGCGGGAAATAGCATCATGTTGAATTGGTTAGTTTATGACGTCCTTTGTCTAAACCGGCCTCGAGTATTGCGTAATACCAGACGTCTATCATAACACTGCAAGGATGCAGTGATGTATTAAATAATATAAAAATTTTACATTTTAAATGGCCGCTTGGAATATGCTATTTAGCGACAACTAAGTAAAGTATGAAAATGTATAAAGCAGGGTACATTGAAACTTTCCTTTTCGTACTCCTGTAGGCCATGGAGGTGGTGGACCTGTCGGCTTTCGAGAACATCGTGAAATGGATGAAGAAATGCAGGGCGGAGATGAAGGGATACGAGGAGATCGAGGAGAAGCTCCTGCCGGAGATCAAGGAACGATTCCTCTCCAAACTCGGCTGAAGCGAC